GTAAGCTTTTATTCTTTTTTATCACCAGTTCCAGCAGGTTTATGTTTAGTGTCCTTGGGTTGTAGTGATTTTTTTTTTAGCCATGCTACTGGAATGTTTCTGTGAAGGGCAATGTAGGTTTAGAACTGAATATATTGACAGCTATGGGGTGGACTGCCAGAATATTTTGTGTATATAAGAAAAATGAAGCTTATATTGCAGTGCTTTGAACTTGCATTTTTTCCCCCTCTAATGGCTAACAGACAGCAGCTCCTTGAGTGTGCAAAAAAAGTCTGATTGACTTGGCTAACCAATACTTTTTACCAATACTAACACCTCAAGTAAAAATGTGTTCTCTTTTCAATAAGGAGATCAGAGTGGGCGCGAATTATAACACAAGCATCGCACTTTTTGGCCTTACAGGAAAGGTTGTTGAAAAGGAGGCTCTGGCTGACAGTTGGACTTCAGATACAGGAGAAATATGCAGGCTCCATCTTGGCCATGGAACAGTGGGCAAGGTTTTCACAGTCTCCCAGATGACTGAGGAGGCATGGGAGTTCACCAGGCCAGCCTACACGTGTTTTGTGGACTCAGAGCAAAACCTATGACTGTGCTCCCAGAGATATTTGAGGAATCTGAGGCGTCTGCACAAACAAAGTGTGCCAACCTGTTCCGACCTGAATATGAGCAATAGTGTCTTCTCAGTTATTTGGAGGTAATCACATAAATGAATACTTATTAGACACTTACTAAGTTAAGCATTTGCATGCAATGAGCTCATTAGTTATTCCATAAGGACTTTTATGCTGGGAGCGCTGACACTCAGTGGTTCAATATGAAGCTATTAAGCGTGTTTATGATGCTGTGGATTATACTCATTGTTAGAAACCATAATCTCTCCAGTATGAGCGCCAATTACCTTGACATAAATGAGGATGGCCATTTTGCCATTTTAGGTTACTCTTTCTTTCTGTTTTCTGCTCGAGTGAACTCAGACAGCACTCAATTAAGCGCAGACATGCTATATGTGTGCTGGTAGTACAGAGAGCTGTGTCAGATAGTAATTCTAAGAAATAGACATCTACATGATGTAACTCTCCTCTCCTGCCATTCAGATGCGCCGTCAAACGTGCTGGGGGTTTGATTTACCTTTGATTCTTCTTACTTTTCTTTAAGGCAAGAAAACACCTGCTCTTCAGTGCCTCCTCTAATTGAAAGTCTATTGTCACATGCGCACGCAGACAGATGTCACACTTTTACTGGGTTTACAATATATGAATATATTTAGGCAGGATCAGTGGTAAGAGGGATTCTTGACTTTTCCTCATGGTTTTGTGGGTGCGTTTGATTTCCTCAAAAAAGTTATTAATTAACTAATTAATTTGAAATAGTTTTTGCAGGGTTCATATTAAAAGGTATAAGTTTATCATAACCCACAAATAACCACAAATAACCAAGGAGCTGCTGAGGTTAGCTTGACTCACAGATTGCAGGTTGCAAAGTACTGATCGTACCAGAGCATTCAGCTATGAAGTGGCGTGATGGTGAAAGCCTAAATTGCAGTTCTTCACAGAAAAACTTCAGAAGAGGTTTATGTTGTCTGAAGGTCTCCAGTCTGCTGTGTGCACTGAAGTATATATTCTCTTTGAACCCCTCAGTTTTTTACCACGACGAATAACAGCACGTCACTGACTTTGTTTTATTATTGGCAAACTAAAGGTGAACTGAGGCTGTCTCTAGTTAATATTTCTGTAACATTGTTTGTACTTTCATTAATTTAATTAGAAAAATTTCAAAGGAGGCCAATTCTCCACAGAAGCATCTGAAAACAACCTGTGTGTATTAAAAAATAACAGATGCAGGTTCTCCTACAAACAAACAACAACAACAACAGCAACAACAAACAGGCATAAATTGTTGTTTTCAAAGTTCTGAGCAAGAAGCAGGTTGCACACTAAAGTAGACTGTTGCTGCATCCATAGTGTGTGCATTCACACAATGCCGTAGAGGGGAAGACTTCAGCAGTGGTCTTAGAGAGACAATTGTTGCTGTCCAATCTGGGAAAGGTTATGAAGCCATTTCTAAACAATTTGAAATCCATCATCCTCCTGTGTGAAAGATTATTCACAAGTGGAAGGCATTCAAGACAGCTGCCTATCTTGCCAGGAGTGGACATTTCAGCAAATTCACTCTAAACTCTGACCATGAAATGCTCAGAGAAACTACAAAAAAAGGAAAAGAAAAAAAGAGAATAAAAAGCCCAAGAGCTACATCTCAGACTGTACCGGCCTCAGATTGGATGTTAAATGTTAAACTTCATGGCAGTAAAATTAGAAAAAGACTGGAAGGAAGGAGGAGCTCCCAGTGTTGCAATAGTCCAAAGTCCAGACCTCGACCCCAATGAAATGCTGTGGTGACCCTGAAGAAAATGCTTGCAGACCTCTACGAGTTGAAACAACATTGTAAAGAAGAGTGGGCGAAAATGCCTCAACGGTGTTGTAAGAGACTGATAAAGTGCAGCTTAAAGTGGTTCTGTGTCTACTGAATCATAGGCTGTACTTAATTTCCAGACACTGCATCTGATTTTTGGCTTTGCTGTTAAATACTGTAAATAATGTGTAAAATCACATGTTGCTCTTCATCTGAATTTTTACCATAGTTTAGAATAGAGGGCACAAGGCATGAAGCAGAAAGCCACTCTGAAATCACAAAGACTGTAACTTTAGGTCGCTTTGGATAGTAATGTGCCAAATGAATGCTATATAAGAGTCATTGCATTACTACTGCTTACTAGTAGGTAACAGGAAGAAATAAACGTGAGAACTTGCATTGTTTTCACTGTGGTTGCAAAAAACCTATTTATACTGTGAGGCTCTAAAAATCATTCAATTTTAGGGTAAATGTGAGATTAAAGTTAAGATCAGGCAGGCACTGTAAGACTGAAGAAAAACAATTTAAGTGAATGTAAGGTCCTCTATTGTAATGGAAAAATGACCGTGTGTGTGTGTGTGTGTGTACGTTTCACTGATGGATCTGAGAATGTCTCAAAAGTTCAGACAGTGCTCGAGGCTCGCTGTCTCATGTCGAGCAACATCAGACTGACGGTTTCTCACTCACACGCTGGGAAGAAGGATGGAGAGCAAATGGCACAATGATATGTTTATTGAGAGGCTTTGGATAATAGAAAAGGTGACGGCTGCTGCTGGAATGTCACAATAATTGACCAAAAAAAACCCCAAAAAAAAGAAGAAAAAAAAAGATCATAGACATCAACACCCTTATCTAGAGACACGCACGCACGCACGCACAGTCATTCATACACAAACATTCTTCACCTCCACTCCAATCACTCCAGAGAGAGAGAAATCGTATCAATGCACAGGACAAGACGGTATCACAAGTTCTACGAGTTAATTTCTACATGAAAAAATTCACAGTTAACACATCGGTGAGGGAGATTTCTTTTTTAGGCACAGCAAAAGCAATAAGATCAACAACAACGAAATAATGATAAAAATAAAACATTCCACACATTTCAATAAAAACTCAGGGGGCCCAGGTGCACTGAATGTTTACAATGGATTTGAGGTGGGAAATGTCTTCGATTTGCAGCCTCCAGGGGCTCAATTGAAAGGTCGCTCTCACAACAAAGGAGAAAACAGTTTAGGGGTGTATGCAATAAAGGTTAAACGACACTAGAATGTGGCTTCTTTTAACTGGAATAGTACCAGAGTAAGGACTCAGTTCATCTGGTTTTACCCCCCGTTTACATCTTTATATCACTGAATATACAGTGGAGTGCCTGCTTTCTGATTTTTTGGTATGTTCATCACACTTAAATGTTTCAGATCATCAAACAAAATGAAATATTAGACCAAGATAATAATAATAATAATGTATACTTTATTGATCTCCATGGGGAAATTCCTCTCTGCATTTAACCCGTTCACTCAGTGAAGCAGTGGGCAGGCATTGGGCGCTCGGGAAGCAGCGTGTAGGGACAGTACCTTGCTCAGGATAGCCGTTCAGTGGATTCGAATCCTCAATCTTCCGATCATGGGGCCACCAATCTACCTACTGAGCTATCCCTGCCCCCCCCAAGATGATACAAGTAAACACAAAATGTAGTTTCTAAATGAAGGTGTTTATTATTAATATTATTAAGGGGGAAAAAATCCAAGCCTACATGGTCCTGTGTGAAAAAGTGATTGCCCCACCTTGTTAAATCACGATTTAGCTGTAATTAACCACGTTTTACAAAGTTGAGTGTAGTTTCACTGCTAGACTAAGGCTTATTTACTGCCAGACCTGGTGAATCAAGAAACCCCTTAGATAGAACCTGTCTGACAAATGGTGAGAGCCATTATCCACACCTGGAGAAAACCTGGAACTGGGGTGGATTTCCCAGGAGTGGCCAGCCTACCACAGTTACCCCATCCAGGAGGTCACAAAAGAACCCGGAACAAGAACCAAAGAACTGCAGACCTCACTTGCCTCAGTTAAAGTCAGTGGTCATGACTCCACCATAAGAAAGAGACTGGGTCTGCATAGAGTTCCAAGACGAAAACCACTCCTGAGGAAAAGGAACATAAACTTGGGTTCTGCAGCAGGACAATGATCCAAAACACACCAGCTCCACCTCTGAATAGCTTAAGAAAGACAAAATGAAAACTTCATTGTGGCCCAGTCAAAGCCCTGACTGAATCCGATTGAGATGCTGCGGCCTGACCTTAAAAAAGCAGTTTGTGCTTGAACAACAAATGTTCTGCAAAGATTCATCAAAATTCCTCCACAGCGTAAAATACTCATTACCAGTTATCGCAAACGTTTGACTGTAGATTGCTGCTGCTAAGGGTTATTATGTTTAGGGGGCAATCACTTTTTCACACAGGGCCATGTAGGTTTGGAATTTTTTCCCTTTAATAATAAAACAATTTCATTAGGAAACTGCATTTTGTGTTTACTTGTGTTAACTTTGTCTAATATTTAAATTTGTTTGATTATCTAAAACATTTAAGTGTGACAAACATACAAAAACATTGGAAATCAGCAAGGGAAAAAACACTTTTTCACACCAGTGCAAATATACACATTTAAGATTTTGCAGAACTTGGGACTGGAACATTTAATATAAATGTGATCCCAGGTTGTTCAGAGGAATGGCTATTTTTAATCTACAAATGTCTTCACTGGTCTCCTCCAACGCTTTGAAACGATCATATACGAGTAAATAACACACAGATAATATCACAGACAGTTACTGGAGCTGTTGTTCTTTTTCTATATTTGCAAATCGAGTTCAGAAAGTTCACCGTGTTGTCGTGTCTGTGTAGAATGCTTCAGGAGGACGCTAAATACCGTATATAACCGGGTAAATCAGTGATAATTTAGCAGTCACTTCTGCACGTCGACACGATAAGCACACTGAGACAGATCCGTGCGCGTTTCCTCCTTTCGTCTTTGGAAAACCTTGTGCTCAGATAGAAGGGAGAGTCTGTGACATTCCCCCACTCGCCCTTTTCAGCTAAAATACATCTACTGTAGCAGCTGAGAAAAACACGGTAGCTCTTTGACAGGATGTATGTCATATTGTAGCCTTGAATTCTTTCAATAAGCGCCACTGAGTGGATAGGCTGGTGTTTTTATTTGTGTGAACGGAAGCATGTGCATTTTATATTTATATATCTATATGTAGAGATATATATAGATGTATAGATATGCACTAGGTTTGGCTGTTTGTTATTTAATCAGTACCTTACAGTGGCCAAGGGCAACCACACAGTCAAACAAAGGAAGCACTGAGGCAATAAACTGTTTTCAAGCAGCCTGAAAAACAATACAACACTCAAAAGACTGAGCAATATTGCTGGTATTTAGAGTCAGCTCACACACAATTGCTAATCTAGAAAAAAAAAACCTTTGATGTTTGCTTTAAAATTATATTTTAATTTCTAATCAGAATAAGCCTCTCTTATGGGATGTAAACTTTGATGAGTTGTCTTGGAGTTATGGTGCCTTCACATCATATCAGAGTCCGTGTCACACCCTGATAGTTATAATAACTACGACCGGGAGGCGTTCCTTTTATTTTTTCTGTCATTTTTTCATCCCCTCAAAATTTTTCTCCCACAATTCAGCGTATTTGACTTGGCACCGGATAATAATAGGTACTGAATACCTGGAAGCCAGATGAATACAGATGGCTTCCTCATCTCAGCCAAATGTATCAGTCAAAACTAATAAATTCCAAATGTAACGGCTTCAGTATTATACCGTCAGTATTTGTGATGCTCATAGGGCCGACTGCCATGAGATTGTGAATCCTCGCAAAGTCCTGGGAATCTTAAAGAGGGTTTTTTAGCATAATGCCTCCCTTCAAAGTGCAGGTTCCTGCGCATTTTTGCAATCTTTGTCAACTCATATATTCAAATATTCATAAGATATTAGGCAGATATTTGGGTTGACACATCATTGGTAGATATATCACATGAACCAAAAAGCCCAACACACTTATGAATAACATAAACCAAAAATGACTTTATAAGATGACAAGGATGGGGCAAATACGCCTTTATTTTTTCCCCTTGTAAATTTAGACTGTCGTCTGATTTAGCGGTGGCGGCAGCGGGTCAGTCTGTCCTACAAATTCTCTGAAGGATGATTTTTTCGTCTCTGAATTGAGACAAATACTTAAACTGCTTGACAAAACAGTGAGAATCACATTAAATTTAACCATTTAAGCAATGAGTGCCTTAAAGCTGATGCCTTTTTCCTTTATGCATTTTCTTCCATTACACTTTGTTCCTATTCTTCATGTCTGACACTGTGCCACTGGCTGAATTAGCTACCACAGTGATACTATCGCTTCACATGCGGCAGATCATAATGAATGCTGGATGCGAACTGGCTTTATTCAAAGCAACAACGTACACATACACTACAGCGATGACTTGTGGTTAAGGATTTTAGCCAAAACTTAATTAATTTGAGATAACACTTTTCATCCCCACAGCTAAAACATGTTAATCACAGTGGAGATGGCATTAAGTGTGTCTTTGTATGTGTGTAAGAGTGTGTGAGCATGTTCCTGCATCACAGACAGACGTGTTTATTTGCTGTGCGCTTGTTTGGATAAGCCTATGCCTGGATGTACTGCTTCCAATGTTTCTGAGTGAGTGTCTGTGTGTGTGTGTCAGCTCAGCAGATGGAGTTTGATTCTCACTACTGGGAAATCTCAATCCCACAATGCACTGGGAGCGGCGCCAAATGAGGAAGAGGCAGTAGCAGCAGCAATGAGGAACCAATCACAGTTTGAATGCTGAAAAAATGTGCTTTCCCCTCTCTCGCATTCCTTCTCGTTGCAGTTCCTCCGGGGTTAGCCATTGTTGTGCTATCCATCAGCATGAATTGGGTCTATACATGAGTTAATTCTTAGCTTGTGTGCATAATACATGCACACGTATCACAGACACAGAAAAAAGCGATTAGCACAGATCACAAAGGAAAACGGTGACAAAATGAATTTGAGGTCGGTTCCCAAACCTTTTTTTTTCTCACTTTTTTTGAGCAGACAACCAGAAACAGCTGGAAATTCCGCTTTAGAAATAACAGCATAAAAATTCACAGCAACTCAACCAAACGTTTCATCACTCTTGGGTCGAAGGGGAATCATTCCAAATTTAGGCTTACTGTTATCTGAAATATCTCCCTTTTTTAAAACTCTTCCCAAATCCCCCTAGCAGTCAAAAGGAACATCTTTTATTGGGTTACTGCGCGCCGGAGAGAGGAAAGAGGAGACGATGATGGATTCTTAGCTTTTCAGCTAAATTCACGTCTGTAAAAACATCTACTCATGCAACTACAACCAGCAGTTAACATGATTCAATAGTAACCAATAAAAACAAAGTGCTCCCAGTAAAAGAGGCCGGATGGCAATACGATCTGAGAAATCGCAGTGATGTGTCAACGCAAACTGATGACATCACATTCCCTTGCCACAGCAAGGCAGGATCAGATCAGATCATTGTCGTAGTGTGTAAATGTGTGTGTACCGTATGTGCGCGTATGCTAGGGTTTGACCAATATGTTATTTTGTTGCCAAAATTAAGCTTTTGGATTATTTTACTGGAATTTTTTGTTGATGTGAAAAAGCTTCCAAGAGGAATTTAGTTATTGTGGGCCGGACTAATTGAAAAATCCAAGTAAGGTTTGTATCATAGCAGATGACTGATTCTCTGATACGCGATCAGGGAATCAAACTCATCATATCATTGGTGGGTGCCATTAACTGATATCTGACTAGATGGCGCCAACAGCAACTCTCTGCTATCCATGACAGCAAAATGACATATAGCTACAACCCTAGAGTGTGGTTGTGTGTGTGTGCAAATATGTTTGCTTGCTCACAGTGAAAAGCAAAAAAAGCATCTTCCATCCCCTGTAGCCCTTCTTTGGCAGGTCTGGAAAAAAGAAAATAAAAAATAAAACTAAAAAAAAAACGCTAAAAGAAAGAGATCTTTGCTCTCTAAACAACCAATCACAGTCCAGCACTGGATTATGACACTTGTAACAAATTGCTAGCAACGCCCTGATGTGAAGTATGAAAAAGGGAGGAGAGAATGGCTGGCCGCCCTGAATATAGGGTCTTTTTTATCTGATGTTGTCAAATGGGTTTAGTCCTGTTGGTCATCCTTGTCTCATGCTAGTGGAGGTTCAGCAACTGGAGGCTGATTTCCCATAGGCTCACTTGCAGCTGGGGATCAAAGGTCAGCGGTGTTGTCATCTCCCTGCACCCATTGGCCCAGTAACCTCCTCCACAATCTCCCTCCAGAGCAGGTGACAGAGCAGCAGAGAGCACAGTGGTAGCGCCCTCTTCAGGAGTCTAGGGACAAACACATAAACACAATTAAAAATTTAAAGAGCTCCTGCATATAAAATATATAAAGAAAAGAACTGGAATGGAAGACAAGATCAACAACAACCTATCTTCACGTAGACAAAAAAATGTGCCTAAGTGTGTGTGTGGACACGGATGAAAGAGTAGGGCTAATGTCACTGTGTGTTAGCATCACTGAAAGGAAGGCTCAGGGTAAGAGCATGTGTGTGTGTGTGTGTGTGTGTGTGTTTTCATGGATGAGCGTATGCTTGAGAGCGCTGGTGTTGATGCATTTTAACAATGATCTCAGTGTCAGCAGTGAGACCAGCAGCAGGTTTCTGAGCAGAGAGAGGATCACAACCTGAAAGCTTTAACAGCACACTTGCATACTCGTGTATAACAGTACGTGAGTGCTGTCTGTGATGTGTGTATGCTGTACTACTGTGCAATAATTTCAAACATCAATTTTAATTGTTCTTCTAAGTGAATTATCATTGTACTTGAAGGGCTGAATTTTTAAGTACAAAAAAGGAGGGGGGGGGGGGTATTGGCAAGCAAAACGTGTTCTTCATAATTCATTTTGCTGTCTGTAGTTAAAAAGTCTCTCCATCCACGCAGGAGTTTTAGTACAGAAAGACAACAGCAACAACAAAACACCCAACTCTTTCTGTGATTGGGGAGGGGCAACGGTTTCCACGGCAGTTGGATGCTTGATGGTAGGGCCATTTTAAAGTATGCAGATGACACGGTCATTGTCAGTCTTTTACATACACAGAAAGGAAAACCAGCCATAAACATGCTATTGAGCCCTTTTTCAGGTGGTGTAAAAATTGTTATCTCCAGCTCAACATATTGAAAACCCAGAAAATAATTGCGGATTTCAGGAAAAATTCCAGCATATCTGATTCCACAAACATTAAGGGTCAAACCAAGGAATGTGTCCCTGCAAATATCTGGGGACTATTATTGATTCAAGCTTGAATTTTCACACAAACTGTGAAGCAGTGTCCAAAACACTTATATATATGTACATTTATATTAACCTGTAAATTTGCAATTTTTGTACGTATCTTTACATATACACTGTAATATTGCATATTCTGTATATATTATCACTGTGACAGTGTTGCAACTACTTGCACTTTAAATTCTGATTACACCACATCTACAAGCACTATTTTACTTACTTATTATTACTTTCTTTTAAGTTGGTTTTTAGTCTTTTTAGTTGTGTGAAGGGAACCTGCAAAGTAAGAATTTCATTACTCTGTGTAACCAATTGTGTTTTGCAGTGTACATGACAATAAACTTCTTGAACCTCGAATCTTGAAAAAGGGTCATCAAGGTCCTCCTTTCATATTGATAAGACCATTATGACAATATTTTTTTAAAATCTTTTATTGAGTCAGTTTTATCTTTTTCCTTGGTGTCATGGTGACCTGTCTTTGAAGGACAGGAACAAACTGAGTCAAACTGTAAACTGGTCAGGGCAGCTGATTGGTAAATTGCAGCTTAGCCTAGAGTTGATGTATACCAGGCAGTTGCAGAGGATGGCCAGCTCTTAAATGATGATTCCCATCCCCTGCGGGATTTTCATCTTTTCCAGAGGGAAAAAGCTGAAAAGCTATTGCAAATTGTGCACTTAATTTGAATGTATTCATTAATTTATTAAATTTTTTTGGCCTTTTTATAGTATTTATTAGTTTGGGGGTTTGAAGCTGTGGTTTTATTGAAGCCTGGAGAATGCTCTCTTTCCCTCTGTATATGTAGCCAGTGTCTGTGTTTGATGTCTGGTTGATGGGTTGCCTGCTCTTTTAACTGCAAAAGAAATCTACCTAAGGGCATCAATAAAGGAACCTGAACCTTCTCATACTAGCTCATCTATTGCTTTGTTGTTCACCACTTCACTGCTTTACTCTCATGGATGCTGCATTTTGTTGCTATTATTACTTCCTCTGGATATTGATTGTGCCAGAAATTGTACTAGGTTCATTGACTTTCAATATGGGAAATGGGAAATAGGAACAGCAATTTACTGAAAGATGGAAATACAGTATAAAATGCAAAAACAGACTTTGCACAATTCTAATGAACTCAAAAGTCAGTATTTGCAAACTCTATCTTCATTCTTAAATATACAACAGAATTTTTTGTGAATATGCCAAGTATTCGTTAATAGTCTATCTACCAGAATTCTGAAAAGAAAATCAGAATTCTGAGATTAAAGTCAGAATCACTCTGTGCTCTTCATTTAACAACCTGCTTCTACGTATTTTCCCGATGTGGCACCATTACACCCAATCTTAGGGCAAAATCCAACTTTAATCCCCGAGTTTAAAATAAAAAGGTGTTGTAAAAGGCAAAATAAATGTGTGTGTGTTAGTTAATAATTACATGGACTATTTCACATGATAATAAGTTTGCATACTGTATGTGGGGCAAAACTATTCCAAAGGTTGTGCTCACAGGCAAATGTGACAACTGTGGCTTGGGGCTCAAACATGCACACACATCTTCTTCCATTAAATCTCAGGGACATTAACAGCAGCCTGGGGTCAGTGCTTTAAGTTATGCAAAGAAGGCTTTAAAATGTAACACAAAGTGAAGGGGCTGGAGTTTTAGTAGCACTTCCATTTTCAGCAGGGTGGATGGACTGTGTGTGTGTGTGTGTGTGTGTCTGTTTCATCTCATAATACAATCTGTAGAGTGCCCACAGTCAAGTTTGTAGGTTCACATCTAACAGTTTTAACTTTTAGAGATTTCCAGTTCCAAAACCTCAACGCAGAATAAACTGCAACTCAAGAGTTGAGGAAACACTTAAATTATCCAGGGTTGCTATGTTGTTGTTACAAGCTATTCTTCTAACAATAAAATAATTTGAAGCTCAATTACTGCGATCATTCTGTGATACAGTGTGAACAGTATAAAATGCATTTACTTTAAGCACATGTCAACTATATTTGATCTGAACCGTACATTGTGCGCTACTTCTCTACAAGGTGAATATTACAGTTGGGACACAACAGAAAATGCAGAGCCGTGTTTTACCCTGAAGAGCAGGCGAGCGATGACACTTTGTGCCAGATGGAGGGGTGTCCAGAGGTGGCGGTAGAGTGCGGTATCCACCATGCCGGGATCCACGGCACACGAACTCACTTGGAAACCTCCACTCTGCATCTCTTGGTGGAGGTGGAAACTGAATAACACCTGGGCCAGCTTGCTCTGACAGTAAGCAGCATGTGAGGAGTAAGATTGGCTGAATACAGAGAGAGCAAGAAAGAATGTCAATTATTATCCTCCCTATGAAAAAGTAAGAAACTTTTAACACAGCTTTTCCAAAAATCTGATTAAATTATATTAATTCACTTTGCTAACAAACTAAATTCCTCAAAAAAAAAAAAAAGGAATTAATTAATAAAATATTAATAATTCTGTCCTCAACTATATAATGTGTGTAGTATGATAGAAGCTTAAAATTATTATTTAAATAACATAATATATTTATAATGTCCCCGAAACTTAACAAGGGTATTATAAATGTTATGCTAGGCTTTTGGACTAAAAGAAGTCTGTACTGAGTTAAATCAGCATTTGAGTTTAAGACCTTGGATATTAAACACCAATATATCTATGTAACGACATGATGACGATATTCAGGCTGTTAATACATCTTGACAGCAGTGTTGAGAGCTGGAGCGATACTGATCCAACTGGAACCAACAGTTGTCCACTTGTGCCAAACTGAGATGTGTAATACTGATCTCAGCATAAAGAAGGCAGGTGAGCACAATACACAAGGATGTGAACCGCTCTTCTTAAAGAATATCGAAGGGTTGACTTTATCTTTTTTAATAAAGCGCTTAATGTGAATGTCACACATCATTAAATATGTTTGTGGCTCAATAGTATATGGCTGATAACCACCAAACACTAAAGTGAAAAATTAATGACCACTGTGACAATAGCAATTACATGAAATGACTCAGTTTGCCTCTGAAGCAAGCATTTTTAAAGTCTATATATCATTTTAACTATTTATTAGTTTATTATTTGTTATTAACTTCAGGTATTGTGTGCATCAGATGCATGTCTTTGGACATTTGTGTTTGTGTGTACCTACCGGCTATTCAGGTCATTTAGTCTGATCTGTCCGATGCAGTGAGCTGAGGATGAGACGTTGACCACACGAGAGACATGACCCGATTTCCCAGAATCCTTCAGTGTATCCAGGAGTAGCCAGGTCAAAAGGAAGTGTCCCAGGTAGTTCACACCGAAGTGCTGCTCAAATCCATCCTCCGTACGCCCCTCAGGAACCAGCATAACACCCGCTTGACACACACATCCACACACAAATATTTGATACACAAAAAAATGCATTTTAGTATTTCAAATGTGAATTTAATTCAAATGCTACAAGACTAATTTAACATTTTACATAAAAAAGTAATAGAGATAAAACACAAAAAACGCAAAGGTTAAAGTGAAACCCATACATCAGTCAGTAATTTCTGATAGGCAACAATAGGCAAGCAGCTTGGTGTGAAAAAAATCAACTGTGGGAGCAATCATCAGAAAATGGAAGACATACAAGACCACTGATAATCTCCCTCGATCTGGGGCTCCACGCAAGATCTCATCCCGTGGGGTCAAAATGATCATGAGAACGGTGAGCAAAGATCCCAGAACCACACGGGGGGACCTGGTGAATGACCTGCAGAGAGCTGGGACCAAAGTAACAAAGGTCACCATCAGTAACACACTACAACGGCAGGGAATCAAATCCCGCAGTGCCAGACGTGTTCCGCTGCTGAAGCCAGTGCATGTCCAGGCCCGTCTGAAGTTTGCCAGAGAGCACATGGATGATACAGCAGAGGATTGGGAGAATGTCATGTGGTCAGATGAAACCAAAGTAGAACTTTTTGGTATAAACTCAACTCGTCGTGTTTGGAGGGTTGCATCCCAAGAACACCATACCTACTGTGAAGCATGGGGGTGGAAACATCATGCTATGGGGCTGTTTTTCTGCCAAGGGGACAGGACGACTGATCCGTGTTAAGGACAGAATGAATGGGGCCATGTATCGTGAGATTTTGAGCCAAAACCTCCTTCCATCAGTGAGAACTTTGAAGATGAAACGAGGCTGGGTCTTCCAACATGACAATGATCCAAAACACACCGCCCGGGCAACAAAGGAGTGGCTCCGTAAGAAGCATTTGAAAGTCCTGGAGTGGCCTAGCCAGTCTCCAGACCTCAACCCCATAGAAAATCTGTGGCGGGAGTTGAAAGTCCGTGTTGCTCGGCGACAGCCCCAAAACATCACTGCTCTCGAGAAGATCTGCATGGAGGAATGGGCCAAAATACCAGCTACTGTGTGTGCAAACCTGGTAAAGACCTATAGTAAACGTTTGACCTCTGTTATTGCCAACAAAGGTTATGTTACAAAGTATTGAGTTGTATTTTTGTTATTGACCAAATACTTATTTTCCACCCTGATTTACGAATAAATTCTTTACAAATCCTACCATGTGGATTCATGGATTTTTTTTTCACATTCTGTCTCTCACAGTTGAAGTGTACCTCTGGTGCAAATTACTGACCTCTGTCATCATTTTAGGTGGGGGAACTTACACAATCGGTGGCTGACTAAATACTTTTTTGCCCCACTGTATACAGTATCCAAGGACGCGTGCAGAACATTTCACAGTGTGACTGGATCTGTGTTTAATTCTCAAACTCCCTTTAAATTCAGCCAGGCGACTGCATTGAAATTACACAGCTGCGCAGAGGCTTTCTACTTCTCTCAATAAATATTTGATAAACTTTGTGCAGAGTCCGGCTGCACGCTCATATAACACAAGGACAGAACACAAAGACTCACCATTATTGACCAAAATATTTAGCGGCAGGTCCCGTTCTCTGAAGCTCTGGGCGAACTGACGTACAGACTGCAATGAAGCCAAGTCCAGTTTCTTAAACTCCACTGCAATGGACACACACACACACACACACACACACACACACACACACACACACATCAGAGCCATTATAAATGGATTAATCCTCCACGACACTTTGCCGGTAAGACATCAAAGAGTGTATTAATCATCTTCTCCAGCGGGCTTGGTGGATTCCTACACTGCAACACTAACAGCACTTCCATTGCTCTATCACATTAACAAACCTAATACTCCCACCAGAACTCCATCAAAGCTCAGCACATTGTTATATCAGATCTAATATGTGATAAGACACAGGTAAGAGATTAGCTTCTCTCATCAAAACATGAAGGGGGACTGCTGGCTTTAGTAAGCTCAAGTGTCTGCACGCTCACAGAAACACTGATTTAAAAAAGCTTGACAAACCGAGCTTTCCTGGAATATATAAAATTTTAAGTAATAAAATAATAATAAAATTCTCAAATCTGTTCATCAAAAAGGGATATGTCATTCTGTTTGGGGGTTGATCAACGAGACCTACTTTTTCCACGGTCAAAGCTCTGTGGCTCCAAACACAAAGTTACCTCAGCATCCCTTATTAAATGGCCAGCCAGGTAACAAACCTGTGACATCACACCTTAACTAAACCACTGAGATACCCAAGGTGCGGCAGGGTTTATTGTAAAATAGTAACAGACTGGTGACAAATTAAAGGAACAAGAGCCCCTCCAATGAGAGCATCTTGTGGCTCTGCTATGCTGTGAGGGGTATTTTGCTTGCACAGTTTAGGTCCACTTGTCCTTTAGAGGGAAATCAATACAAATCTGTTCTGACTGATCACCTTTCTCCCATGCTGAAGCCTTCTATTCTGATGGGAGAAGGATCATTTTTTCCCAGGATGACAATATATTCCACGGGGTATTAAAGGTCATTGAACGTGTTGATTACGAAAAAAATGTCAAATGTATGATATGGCTTTGAAAGCCCACAGGTCTCAACCCAAGTGAGCACTATGCAGGAGAATTTGAAATATATTAGACAACATTTTCCACCACCATCAACATCAAAATGCCAAATGAGCTGTTTTGATCTGCACAGTACCATGAAAATGTTCATCAAATATGCATTCAAGAAGCTCTTCAGGCTAAACAAGCCATTTAACTGCCCTGATTAAAAGTTCTACTGCTTTTTATTCTGCACTTGAACAGATATCATAATGAGGCATATATGACTGTCATGCAATGTATTAAATAGTGCAAAATCTCTGTATAGTAATACCTTTTTAATGGTGGGTAATATAGAAATGACCCCTAGTGGTCACTTCTCTTGTTTATCGGGAATAGTTTTATGTTGTCTTTCCCAGTTTTTGTGGTGCTTCTGCTTCATTTAATGGTGCAAAAACAAAAAAAATAAATAAACTTTCTTCTTTTTTACAGACTCTACATTTGTAGAATGACCTTCCCACTGCAGACACGACTGCTGACTCACTTCTAATCTTCAGCAGCAAATTGAAATCTCATTCCAGCAAGAAATGTTTTAAATTGTTCTTTAACCCTCTAACATCCTCTGTGTGCATTTCTCAGCACTTCAGGATGGGAAATATTCTTGAAAAGTAAACAATCCTGTTCTATTAAATGCTAAAACAGAAATCCTATTTTGGGTTCACTGGCTTAAAGCAACAGAGAAATGAGTTGATCACAGAAATGTGACACCCAAAATATACACAAAAACGAATACACTACTCTAATAGCAAAGTAATATACACTAGTGCTCCCATCACATTATTGTTTTTCTTACTCTGTGCAATCTGCAGACTCATAACTCTACATGGCTGAAATTGTTTTGCATTTTTTGTTGCCAGTGGAATCCATCATGTCTCTTTTTTATCTTTGTGTCATTAATATTTAATAATGTAAATGTAAATTTTAAAAATGCAAAATTATCAGGAAATATGTCGTCCTTAGCAGGTCTTTATTTTAGGCAAATACCTAACCTTAACACATGGCATACTACTGTGTGTCATTCATTTGAACAAACTAAGCAAAAATGCAGAAGCAGTGTGTGGAAAAACTAAGTTAACCCCCTGATTCAAAAGCCTGCAGAACATCTTTAGCAGCAATAACTTAAGGTCACTGTTTTCTGGACTTTACAACGCTGTTTTATGTCATTGAGGTTTGCAGGCATTTATAAAGTTTTTAAGCTCCCACCATAGCAGACAGCAGATGAGCAAAATAGTAAAACATCTTCTTTCATTGAGGTGATCACATTTTCTGCTCATCAATTAATTAAGTGCATCTGATTAGAAGCGCCTGGCTGCTACTTACCTTCTTAATTTGGATGGAAACAGAATCGGGGTTAGATAATAAATAAATCATGACATGGTGTAACAGGCCGTCTTTTATACTTCATTTGAGGTTGTATTGATCTAATTTTAAGACTAGCTAAGGACAGATTGTGTTTTTATTATATCTTGAGATATATAAGATATATAAGCCTATGATTACAGTGAGAATTTGAAAGTAGAAGCTTACACATTCTGACAAGCAAGACTCAAGCTGCACGAAGCCTCGGGATTATTCACATGGTTTGGCCTTGCATTTTTTAATAGCACTGTCAAATTATATCCCTCAATTCAAAGTAAAGCCTTGTGCCTTTCAAATATCTATAAAATAATATATTGTTTCCTTTAGAACTCAAGTAAGCCTCTAACGTCTCAAATATAATGGACAAAGACAGGAGGAGGACAGAGAGAACACAGGGAGGACGAGTTGATGGAACTGATAAAGAAAAGGGCTGCTGAGACAGATGAGAGTGCAGCTGTTCCTGATGAAGGTCTGATAGCAGTCTTATCTCCAAGCCACGCTACTCACCTCCTGCTGACTGTGTGTGTCTGAGAGAAAAAAAAGAAAGAAACGAAGAGAAAATGGTGTGTGCAGCAGAGTGACCGCGAGCACAAATTTGACTTAGTAAGAGTGTGTGCTTATGTGCACCTGAAAACAGGTGCACGTGTTGCAGGAGAATTGTGTGTGCGTGTATGTCTGTGTGTGTGCCATGCCCGTCAGTCCTCTCTTGTCATCTTGAATGGGGCCTCTCGAGACTGAGCCCTTTCAGAAAACCCAGTCGTATTTAGAAAGCCCACTGGGAGTGAAATGCCATTGATCATGCGTGGGCCTGCACCCCAGGATTTTCTATAACACTCAGGCTCCTTGACTCAATCGCTCAACACTGTGATTGTATTTTATGTCTTGAAACACGACGCGATGAAAAACCTTTGGAGGCGTTGTACCGGATCTACTCACTGACTCATTCACTGTTTATCTTAAATGAGCTGCAACTTGTCAAATGTGGAGGAACCAAACTAAGTAAAGTGGTTTTAGTGAGATAATAAAGTGGTTAATTTTGTATTACTCCTGAATAGTAGATGACAAAGATAATAAATAAATCAAGAAAAGATGACATAAGTTTGTTTCTGAGCAAAAAGTCATGAAAATAACCATGAAAGTCCTCCATGAAGAGCGATTACCAAGGTTTGTGATTCTGCCTATAAAAAGCAAACACCTTACCTGGTTTAAATTCACTCTCTTTGCCCTTCAGGGATGTCTCCCTGTGCCGTTTCACTATCGACCTGTACTTGTGCAGAGAGCAAACATGACTTCTTTGTTGAAGTAAACTACAGCTGTGGGGGGGGGAAGTTTTCACAGGACTCTATGTAATCATGTGAAAAACTAAGGTTACCCTTACTACTTCCATACTTGATTAACTGATCAACTGACCATAAGCTGAGTTTTGGCAGTTTGCTGGTCTGAAGTATTCAGCTCTGTCAAAACAATCTTTCAGTGAGTGGACCGACTATAAAGGCCTCAGTTAGTTTTTAAATGTTAAAGTTCATGACAATTGAAGTAAAAAAAGACTGAACAAGTGCAGCTTGTTTGGAAGAGTTCCCAGAACAAAGCCTCTTCTCTCTAAAAAGAACACGGCAGCACGGCTTAGGTTTGCAAGCTGGCAGCCGAAAAAACACACAAGGCTCCTAAACAATGTCCTTTCGGCGGCATTGCCATAATACACAGCACCACGTCTGGCCAAAAACAAAGAGCATATGAGTTCCTGCTTGCTGGATTTGACTCCCAAATCTTAATCCTCTTCCTAAAAATGAAATTGAAGTTGGCAATTTTACACAGTGGAACAGAACATATATGGTAATCAAGTACAAGCAGTAAGAGTGGGACATCCAGAGAGTTATTCAAATGTAGTAGGAGCAGCAGAAGTGGTCCACAGGTGGACATTGAAACGACCCTGTCTTTCAAGGTGACAACACTCTAATTTAAATTAGATGAAGTTGTACTTTTTATATGTGGAGGTACATTGTACATTACTATATTCTAAAATTAGAATATTTATTCAATGCAGATAATCTGTATTTTATCTCTACATTTTCTGGCTTTGCATAATTTAGCCTCTTATCCGTTCCATTAATGTAATTTGCAATTTCAAAGTATGAAATTGTCCCTCATTTTAATCTTTTCTTTTGGATTAACTCACTAAAACTGCTGCTCTACAGTACTTCTATTTTCAGTTTAATGAGACTGCCTCAGTTATCTAAACAGACGTGCATGTGGCCATACAGCGAGCTGGTCATATAGCATGACACTGGTGCAGAATTGGTGCATGTGCATAATTAAAAACCAAAAAGTATTGAAAACAGTCAACTTTGCTATGAGAATAAGGTTGGAAGACGATGACGGGACTCAGTTCCAGTAAAAGCTGCCAAAGCTGACACAGGCAGGTCTAAAATAATTAGTAAAGTAATTTTAATGCTGATTTTAAATGTGACAAAATGCCTTAAATCACAATCTCAGACCTTTTTAAAATAAAGACATTTCCACATGTTACAGCAGGGAAAGCACAAGTGTAAATAAGTAAAAGATAATAATAACAGCTGACTTCTAGTTATTCACAGCCAAGAATTACTGTAACTTTAAAAAACACCATAAATAATTTATATCTGCATATGAAATAGTTCTGAAACAAGATGAAGGCATTACTT